AAGCCCTAAACCTTCAAACCCTAAAGTTGAACAGCCATGAAACACTAAAACCCTTAACCACAAAAACTAAAAACCCTAAACCGTAACCGCCCCTAAAACCGCTAAAGCCTAAAACCTCAACGCTGTGAAGCCTCTAGCACCCTTTGAGCTTTAACCTTGCAAACCTTTCATGCCAATTCCAAAATACCCTAAACCCTAAACCCTCAAACTCCAACACCCTTTAAAGGCCCTGAAAGCCTCTAAACCCTTTGGAGCCTTTGAAGCCTAAGCCCTGAACCAAAACCCCGAAGAGCCCTGAAACCCTTAAAAGCCCATGAAACCAATTTTAAATCAAACCCCTTCAAACCCTGAAACCCGAAAAGCCCTGAAACCCCACACCAACGAGGCCCCTTTAACTCCCCTAAACCCTAAATGCCCTGACACCCGAAAACCCTGAAGTTCCTTCTTGAAGCCCACCGCACCTAAAAACCCTAAAAAACCCTTAAAGGCTTCTTAGGTACCCTAAAAAACCCTGAAAGCCCCTTCAAAAAAGCCTCGGACCTAAGCCAAAAAACCCTAAAACAGCCTAAGACCCTCAAGCTCCACACACCCTTCTTTCGCCTATACTGCAGAGCCGTACAACCGTAAAACCCTGAACCCTGAAACTCTGAAACACCCAACCTTAAAAACCCGAACCTCGAAAAGCGCGTCAAACCCCCTGAAGCCCTATAAACCCGTCCTGCACCCTAAACCCGAAAGAGACCCTAACAACTCAAGAAGGGCTACAACCCCACACACTTGTAAACCCCAAAACCACTAGACTCCAAGCATCCCAAGGCGCCCCCCCCCCCCCCAAAAAAAAAAAAACAAGAAAGTTGCTTTTGACACCGGGCTGCTCATGGAGTTCTCCATGGTCCAGGCCGGCTTCAGGAGGTCCGCGAAGTCCAAGTCGGCGGTCTTCGGGTTGTCCTTTCAAGGACACACCCACAGAGGCGCGCGTTGGGGGCTCCTTACTTCTAAGGGCTTTGGTGTAGCATTGTAGGCTTTGTATAACTTAGGGCTTGTAAGGGAAGTTTTGTAGGATTTGTGTAGGGGTTATTGGGGTTTTTGCCTTCTCATGCGGTGTCGAGAAGGGCCCTTCCCAGCGAGGGGTTGTCCTTTGAAGAAGATGAGAAGGCTATTGGGTTGTGTAAGTCTCTGTTTCGGTTTCATTTAAAGGGTTGTAAGGGTGTCCTGCGGTTGTAGAAGTTGTTGTTCAAAAGGGGGTGTGGGGCTAGGGGCTTTTGGACTGTAGGAGGCTTGTGGGCTGAGAGATAGGGTTTGGGAACTTCGAAGCGGGGGTTATGGAAGGCTGCTTATGAGGGCGTGTGGTATGCTTTAAATCAAGATAGGTGTGGGCTTTTGCTGAGGGGCCGTCGGATCTCCCAGGGTTGAGAGTTTTAGGGCTTTGGGGCCTCGGTTGGGTTCGGGGGGTTGTCTTGAGGAGCTTTGCAAGGGCTCTTCTGGGTGTGCCTCGAAGGAGAGGGAGAGACCCAAAAGAGCCCAGGATAAACCTTCAAAGACCTTGAGAAAGCCGTCCTTCAGGTATTGCTTGGGCCGCAGGAGATCGGTGCGTCCGATGATATCGTTGAACTTCTTGATTCCTGAGAGAAACTTTCTAGTTACTTCGCGTTCCACGACCACGATGACGACGGCTAAACCCTAAACCCTGAACCCTAACCCTGCAATCAGCTGCCGTTCATGCTCTCAGGTCAGAACCAGAAACGAAGACCCTCGGATGCACTGACCTACTTGTCCATTCCCAAACATGTTCAGACTCTACTTAGGCTTCCGTTGCTAAGATAGTCTTAGTCTCCCTTGAAAGTAGTAAGCTTTTGCCTTCGTAGCCTTTAACCCTGGATGTCCCTGGAAAGCTACTTCCTTTCTACTCCTCTAAAATCATCAAAATTACAACACAGTAGGTCCTTGGATTGTACCTTCAACCCTAGAAGCCTTCTAAAGCTATACTTCCTCTACATAGTTACTGAGTTGATCCCAAGCAGCCGAGAGAAGCCATGATCTCGCGCGCCTCCTCAGCGACCTGAGCTGGACACCATCACTCTTTTTGCGTCTTGGTTCACGGCCTCTTTGATGCAAAAAGAGGCCCTTAAAACAAAAGACTAAGCTTCAATGCCACCAAAACTATTTTGGCTTCGGGCTTTGCTTCTAGCGTGTTGGGCTTTTTCGAGCCTCCTGGCGTGGGCTTTGGAGGTCCACCGTTCCTCTCTTGGGGGCTCAGGGTGCGGGGCCCGAGATCCGGGCCCCGGAGGAGGCCCGATTCCCGCTTTTGAAGGGCCGCCGAGCAGCTTCGTAATTAGAGGGATGGTTCGTGTGCAGGCTGCTGGAGTAGTGACCCCCTTGAAACATGGACACGGTGACTTCAACCAGAGGAGAGAGGAGAGAGGGGTTCGGCGCTTTGGATCTATAGGGCTCAGTTGATGCTTTCCAGAATCCCATCTGACCTTCTGCCTCCACAAGAAGCATAAGGTGGGATCCCGCCGATTGGACGCCTGTTGGAGGATGTTCAACATGAAGTCTCAATCAAGCCGAGGCACCATGAAGAGGTAGTTGATGAGGTGCTCCGGCTGTCCTGTGGCAGCACGAAAACTCGATGGAGCCAAATCCGTACCGTCCGTGCAGGACTTCAACTTCAAGATGCCTCATATTAGAGGACCCTAAACCCTAAAAGCCTTATAGAACCCTTTAAAGGAACCCTTAAAGGCTGTCTCCAGTTCTTGAACCTTCACCAAGAAACCCGCACACAAGTCCCCGCGCTGCTCCGGATCGATGTTACGGGGGGATGTCTCAGAGGCACCTTGTTCTGGGCGTCTTGGATGGGTGTTGAGCTCCATTGAAGCCAAACGCGCAAACCTTCAACTTCCTTGAAGCGAACACCCCCCTAGCTGCCACGAGGCCACTAACTCCAACAGCTGAAACCCCAGGTCCTACAATCCTGTAGACCCTCAAGACCCCAGAGTCGTAGTTATCCGAAGATCAAACCCTAAACTCGTAAATCTTTCGCACCCAAATCCCAAAAGCTCCAAACCCCTCGCCCCACTTGCCTGTGAACTTCTTGCGCAGCTCCGGATCCTGCGTCGCCACGCCCACCGGGCAGGTGTTCAAGTGGCACTTCCTGGCTGGCCAAGGCCCCAAGGCTTCATGGCTGTTCAGATCAAGGCCATCAAGGCTCTTCGAGTGATAGGGTTTAGAGCTCTAAGGCTCGTTTTTTGGCCCACACTTGGGGCTGCGACTATCTTCGCAGACTTCCGGATGCCGCCAGGCCCCGCTTAAAGTTGTCGAATACCTGCCGACCTAAAGGCCTGGGTAGCGAGGACTCAGTCTGTGGGAGTTCGGGACGAAAGGACGCAGAGCAGTTGGTCATCGTTGTTTTGCTTCAGAATGAAGACAGGGGACATTCCTAAACCCCTAAACCCAAAACCCAAAGCCCCCAGACCCTAAACCCTAAACCCTGAACCCTAAACCCAAAGTTCGGTTGCAAATCTTTTAGTACTCAAAGCCCGAAGCCCAGCATTTCTGAAGCCATGATTTCGATATGGATAGCTCTCGAAATTAGGGTCCCTTTTTGGGGTCCCAAATATGGCACGGCACCCCTATAATAAGGACCCGAAAAGGGACCCTGAAAAGAAAACGACCCATATCCCTGCAGCTTGCAAGTGCAAGCCTTGAATTCCAAAATCCAAGCCTCGACCCCCCAGTCGTGAACCTAAACACTAAACCAAACTCCTACGAGTCGAAGGCCGCGAACCATGAACTCCTTGAACTCAGACTGTTCAATCCTCGACCGAATCCCTAACACCTGGCAGCCTCACGCGTCAAACTCAAACTCACCCCAGATTGAAGCCCACACCATATCAGACCCTTCTTTCATTACCTGACGGCACACTAGCACCGCCGGAACCTAATCAATCCCAGGTCTACCAAACCCTAAGCAGCCTCATCATGATGCATCCGAGAGTGATGAGCGGAGCAGTCGTCATGGCAATCTCCTGGCACGTCGGAGCTCTGAGCTTCGCAGGAAGCCAATGCTACGGCACTCAGACGACGACTAGTATAGGGGCCTTAACAATTAGAATAGGGTTTTGGGGTACATTATACTAAAAATATACTAAGGAACCCCCAAAATATCTATAGCCAATCATTGAGGCCCCTATATTATTTACTTCCTGCCAGTCTACTTCCCCCACTCTGAAAATACTGTTGATGATATAAATCCTGCATTAACTTGAGGACCCTAAACTATGATATTCCTTGTCATGGGCACTGCAGGATTTATATCATCA